AGGGGCAGCTGTTGCACCCTAAAATTTGCTCAACCTAATTCACTTGGTTTATGTTTCAATATCATTAGCATTTGCATATAGAGTCATGTACATAATCTAATCATCTGCATAGCATAGCATAGCAAATCATCCAACAAGGGACCAAGTACTATTCTCATCCCTATGAGCCTATCAAGAGGATATTATTCTAATTCAATCTCATTCAAGTCATCAGGAAGAATTTGAAATCTAAGAAGTCAATGGATCAAGCAGTGAATCTATCTCCTATCTGAGGGTATCTAAAGATCATGTGAGCTGTGAATAGAGCTGAGCATGGAGAGTGTCTAGACAGTGTGGGAGACTTAGAAAGTCATTTGGAGAAGGAGACAAGTCATTGACATGGTCACAAGAGTTGCAGTTGAAGACAATCAACTAGGGTTTCATCTGGGGTCAACTCTAGGTCAACTCTAGGTCAATTGACTGATTGAAAGGCATTAAGGTCTATTGGAGAGATGTGGGGTTCATCATTTGACATGTATAAGAGGATATGGTGATATGCCAAGAAGAATTCAAGAGAAATCAAGGAGAAGAGGAGTTTCTAAATTAGGGTTTCTGTGTAAAATCCCCTAGTTTAGGTCAAATTTCCAAGCAAGATAAGTCAAAATTCAAGCTTCAAATGGATCCTTGGCCAACATGAAAATTGTAGAGGATCTCAACACCTTTAATTTGAGTGGTGGAAGACATCAAGGAGATTTATATAACTCAAGTTATGGTCCTTACAAGTTACAGGTTATCTGAGGTATCTGAAATTTTGTCTGTGAAAGTGACTTGACTTCCAAGCAATTTTTACCCCTCAAGGAGATTTCAAATGAATTTCTGGCCAACATAAGAATTGTTCCTCATTGTCTTATATTTCTATAATGGTATAGTATGCCTTCATATGATTTGTGGAACTCTACTTATGGTCTTGGCAAGCAAAGGGTATTTTGGTCATCTGAGGATTACAGGTCATTCTTAGCCTATGCCTAAACCTCATACAAGGAAGCTTCAAATGGGAAACTTCACAACATAAAAGTTGCTCAAAATGCCATTTTAAGTCTAGGAAAGAAGTCATGGAAGTTTGGAAATGCATGGAATGAGACTTGGCCAAAGTTAGTGAAAAATGACCTAAAAAAGGCATATAAGTTGAAAAAGTTGAAATGAAAAATTGGTTTGAGAGATCTACAAATCCAATATGGGTCATCCAATATACCAATTTGATTCCAAACATCATTTTAAAGACATTGGTTCAGCCACTTCTTTGAGTTAGGGTTTAAAAATTGGACTTGCTTTGTAATATTGTTTCTTGCATCATAAGGCAACTTGGTAAAACTCAACACAAGGCAAGGAAAGGCTTGGCTTTTTCACATACACCTCCAATATCTCATGAAAGGAGATTTTAACACAAGTTTACAAAGGTGCAAGCATGAGATAAGAGATATTCAACATGTCATCACATGAGAAGTTCATGAATTTTCCACCACTTTCTAGAATCCTCTAGGATCAATCTAGAAACTTCTCAATCTGTTAATCATCATCTATATATTGAGAGTAAATCATTGGTGCAAGGGGTTGTTGAAAAGAGGGAGAGAATAGATAGAATTAAGAGATTGCTTCCATTGTAAGAAAGTGTAAGAATCTTCAATCTACACCATTTCTGATCATTTCTTTTCTTCATCCATCATCCATTGAAGTTTGTGAGTGGGAACAAGCAAGGTCAGAGGTCCAATAATGGAGGATTGAAGAGTTAGAGTTGGCATTGCAAGAATCCATATCAGAATTGTAGCCATCACCACAAGCATTTTTCTCCCTACTTTTTGCAAACAGAAACCCTAGCATCATCTAAAGATCATTGGTGAAAGCTTACAAGTGTTGAATCGAGCTCCTTCTCATCTGTTTCAGCAAGAATAGCAGGTTGGTGTTTTCTTTCATATCTCCATAACTAGGTGTTGCTAGGTTAGATTATTGGTATAAGATTGTTAGGGTTAGGTAGAGGAGCATTTACCCCATCTGTTATGGCCATTAGAGACAATTGGATTAATGGTGATGAAACTTTGATGATCAAGAACTCCTGAATTAAGGCAAGAGAATGCTAGATTTTTGGCTCAGAATACTCAGCGTAGTCCATAGATTGTTCTAGGGTAGTTTGAGCAAGTTTGATGATCATGCACATCAGGTGCAATTTAGTGGTGTCCAAGACTTCAAGCTATCGGGTTTAAGCATAGAGGGGGTTTCAGGAAAATCTAAGTGTGGGATCTTGTAGAGGGCTTTGAGTAGGCCAATTTTGGTTTTAAGATCGAAGGATTTGGTGGACTATGGAGAGAGAACGAAAAGCATGAAGATTCCTACATGGACATGAATTTCTGAGTTCTAGGGTTTGGTTTGGGGACGATGAGGGATAACCGTCCGATCATCCTGGTTATTTGACATTTTCATCGCATCGTGTGGCTAATATTCAATTTAAGAAACGGAGGGAAAGACCAAAGTGAAACGCAGCGTTTCACTTAAACGCGCGTCTGGGCTGGGTCCAACAATTCCTATCCCCACCCCCATTTTGAGAAGCCCAATAAAATACGCATGATATTGCTGCTATCCACACCGAGGATTTATTCTTTTTCTGGCATTTTTTTCATTTGATTTTTCTGAGCGTGTTGGGCTTAATGTTATTGATATTCACACCCCTGGTTCATGGCCCACCTGGAATTTAAACTGGGCGAGCTTGCTATTCAGACTCCCCTCCCCATTTTATTTCTATTTTGTGTTTTTAATTCCTTTAATATTTTTGTCATCTTTAAAAAATCATAAAAAAATGAAAATAGCTTAGTTTTAATTGGTTCTTTTTGCTATAGGTCTATAGTTCTGTCTAGAAAAATACCAAATAATAAAATTGACATTTTATTTTGTTTTACTATTTTTTGTGTATTTTTCTTGTAAATAGCATTTTATTAAGTTTAGTTTGATACTTAAGCTTGTTGATTTTTGTTCTAATAGTTCCCTTTAGCTTTAGAGCTTATTCTTTTTAGGTTGATTAGTTTAGGACTTCAACTTGAATATAAGATTTAATTCACAATTTTAGAAATTAAGGAGACTTGTGTAGGTGTGAGCAACATGAACAAAACTAGGGTTTTGGTGACAACATAGGTGAATAAGTCCATTTCCCTTAGGAGTTAGAGATTGAATTTTTGGGGTATGGGACTATAGGGATTAGGGGTAGTTATTAGATCCCTTAGAAAATGTTAGGATTCCCCTACTGCTATTAGTATTGTCTGTATTTGCTTGACTGGTGTGGTGTGTCCTCTCTGGGGATTATAATTTGTCTGTGTGGGTATTGGGTTTGTTTGGGATTTGGGGATAGCTGGAGACCTGAGATAATGAAGCCCATTTGAAGATCAGAGACTGAAGACCAACTTCTAGAGTTGATGAGGAGATTCTGTGCTGGCAGCTGTTGAAGTTGGTAGTATCTAGGAGTTAGGCAGAGCCCTAGAGTAGTCAACTTGATTCTCAAACATGGAAGGTCTTGACTGCCTCCATTCTTCTCTGTGATGCAGAGTCTCTCTAAGACATTCACCCCCTTCCCTTGGAAGGCTTGGTGCTACTGTCTAAGGGATAGAACTCTTGAGAGAAAATATCTTATGTGTTAGTAGCAGTTTGTTTGCCACCCTTGGTAGTCAACTAATTGCTTAAACACCCAATTCACTCTTGTGGTTGATCCCTCATCCTGGAGGTTTGAGACTTGAAGAAAGGCCATTGTAGACTGAAGATTGATGACAAAGACCTTGCTTGAAGGCTGTGGAGATGGAGATTGATGCTTGCCAAAGCTTGTAGCTGATTGGAGATGACTTGAAGATAGGTGTTGATGCAGAGCTGTTGTGGGTGTTTATTTTTGTTGTTTATCATTTCTGATGTATTGATTGGTTTCCTGGACTGTATTGCTTGCTGTTTAACCTGGTTGGGTTGAAAGTGAATCCTGTTCACTTTTGCCTATTGTTTTCTAGGTTCGAGGTTGAGTGGGACTCCCTTGCCTCGCTCGTATTGCTGCATCCATGCATTTTACTGCTGTATATATCTGTTATTGCTTCTGTTTCCGTTTATTCCCTTAGGATCTCTGTTTCTCTCTGTGCAAGAGAGGAGCATGATAGACATTAGGTCTTAACCCATGCATGATAACATTAGGTTAGTCTGATTCCCTTCGCAACCGTAGGTTAGAGTTCTGTCTCTTCTTTCTCAAAACAAACAGAAAAGTACAATAAGATTTCAAACACAATAAAAGACACTTCTTCCGTAAAAGAATGTGAACTCATCAAGACGTCATTTTTGTCCGCTTGGACCAGTAACCAGAAAAACCCTTTTTCAGAAGGAATAAAAACAATCAAGACAGACTTGTGTCGTACGTGGCCCGAACTACGTTTGCTCTGATCTTTCATGCTGTGTGGAAGTACGTAGGCATAGGATGCGATATCCTAGCGAGCAACCTTCCCTTCCTTTCCCGTAGGTAGGCGAACTACGTTGACTCTGATTTCTCGTTCCAGACGAGAATACGTAGGCATAAAGTGTGATACTTTGCCGAGTCATTTTCTTTTATTTTAACCCCTGACCTATAGAGTAGATAGAATAACAATCCATACCCGAAAACAAGCGTGGATCCCGTCGAGTACGACGGACGTGAGGGGTGCTAATACCTTCCCCTTGCGTAACCGACTCCCGAATCCAGGTTTTGGTTGCGACGACCATACCTTTTCCCGTGTTGTGCGAGGTTTACTCTGAGCGTTTCCTTTCCCTCCCGTGGGATAAATAACGCGCGGTGGCGACTCTTCTGTTCAGCCGGCGCCGATTTTCGCAGTAGCGACAGTCCCCTATTGGGATGTACTATAAAACCTAAATTAGGTTTATCAGCTAAGAATTATGGTAGAGCAGTTTATGAATGTCTCCGCGGGGGATTTGATTTTACCAAAGATAATGAAAATGTGAACTCCCAACCATTTATGCGTTGGAGAGACCGTTTCTTATTTTGTGCCGAAGCAATTTATAAATCACAGGCCGAAACAGGGGAAATCAAAGGACATTATTTGAATGCTACTGCGGGTACATGTGAAGAAATGCTAAAAAGAGCTGTATTTGCTAGAGAATTGGGCGTTCCTATCGTAATGCATGACTACTTAACAGGTGGATTCACTGCAAATACTACCCTGTCTCACTATTGCCGCGATAATGGTCTACTTCTTCATATCCACCGTGCAATGCATGCAGTTATCGATAGACAAAAAAATCATGGTATGCACTTTCGTGTATTAGCTAAAGCCTTACGTTTGTCTGGTGGAGATCATATTCACGTTGGTACTGTAGTAGGTAAACTTGAAGGAGAAAGGGAGATTACTTTAGGTTTTGTTGATTTACTATGTGATGATTATTTTGAAAAAGATCGAAGTCGCGGTATTTATTTCACTCAGGATTGGGTTTCTTTACCAGGTGTTATCCCTGTTGCTTCAAGGGGTATTCACGTTTGGCATATGCCTGCTCTGACCGAGATATTTGGAGATGATTCTGTACTCCAATTCGGTGGAGGAACTTTAGGACACCCTTGGGGAAATGCACCTGGTGCCGTAGCGAATCGAGTAGCTCTGGAAGCATGTGTACAAGCTCGGAATGAGGGACGTGATCTTGCTCGCGAGGGTAATGCAATTATCCGTCAAGCTTGCAAATGGAGTCCTGAATTAGTTGCTGCTTGTGAAGTCTGGAAGGAAATCAAATTTGAATTCCCAGCAATGGATACTTTGTAATCCAGTAATAATAATTCGTTCTATTAATTTCCATTAAACTCGGCCCAATCTTTTACTAAAAGGATTGAGTCAAATATTGTACAGAATACTTGTTGTATCTATAAATGAATCCTATGGATCTTTCGGATTGATAGTTTTTTTCTAGTTCATTATTCTTTTTTGATTTGGAATATAATGAATTAAAATAGAAGTATTTTCTATTAATATTGACAACAGTGTATCAAACCAATATAATCCGGTCGTGAATAAATGGATCGATTGACTCATGTCAGATAGGTTTTTTACTTCATCAAATGGTGGATTCGTTGTATTTTTTTTTTCTTTCATTGTAATTTAATGTCATTCATTGTAATTTAATGTAATATGTAACATAATATGTAACATTTGATTCTATTATTTATAGAATTGCATCTTTTTTTATTGCGATTGGATATAGACATCCTTGTTTGTAATTGGATTAGGGTTGCTAACTCAATGGTAGAGTACTCGGCTTTTAAGTGCGACTCCATTTTTTACACATTTCTATGAACTAATTGGTTCATCCCTACCATCGGTAGGGTTTGTAAGACCACGACTAATCCAGAAAGGAATGAATGGAAAAAGCAGCATGTCGTATCAACGGTGAATTCTAAAATATTTTCATTCATATTTGATCCGACCAATATTTTTCTCTGAATTGTTGGCTCGGAACAAATGAATTCCGTTGGGTTTAATTAATAAAGGGATAGAGCTTAGCTGCTCCAATTATAGGGAAACAAAAAGCAATGAGCTTTCATTTTTGATTTGAATGATTACCACATCTAATTATACGTTAAAAAAGAATTAGTGCTTGCTGTGGAAAAATTTTTTCCTACGAATGATGGATTAACGATTTTTGTTATGAGTCCTAATTATTAGCTATTCCCCATTATTTTATGGGGTAGATTTTGTCTGAACTTCTTTCCCTTAAAAGCATCTTTGTTCTGACGAAATTTTGGTTTAACAAAAGCTTTAGTGTTCTGATCTGTACGTGTGTGATTTATATCATTCAGGTGACCATATTTAAAATGGGTGTACAGAGGAGAATACTTGATGATCATCTTATCAGAAGGTTTTGGATTTAAATCCTTCCTAGATGGTGATTCATATCCAATTCCTTTTCTATTGTTTCTGCTTACGCCATAGATCATGGAAGCCATTTTTCTTCTATCTAGGCCTCTGGACAGAAACCTCTGAAAACTATAATCATACTCTTCTAAAATGTTTTTAGAGCATGACCTAGTATTTGAGTCAGACATTTGTTGAGCTTTTTCTAAATCAGTTTTTATTTTAAGATTATTTGCTTTTAGCTCAGCAACTTCTGATCTCAGCTGATCATTCTCAGATGCAAGATAGCTCTGAAGCTTCTTGTATTTGAGTTTGATCTTACTGTAGTTTTCAAGCATTTCAGATAAACTCTCAATAAGTTCAGCTCTGGTAAGTTCAGAAATTATCTCTTCTGAATCTGATTTTGATCCAGATTCGGATGTTTCTTCATGGTCCTCCATGTCAGCCATCAGTTCCATATTTGCACATTCTTCCTCTGACTCTGATGAGGATTCAGAAGCATCTGAGTCATCCCACGTGGCCATCAGAACTTTCTTCTTCTTTTCAAACTTCTTTCTGGGTTTGTCCTTCTGAAGTTTAGGACATTCACTTTTGTAATGACCTGGCTCCTTACACTCATAGCATACAACTTCTTTCTTGCCAGATTTCTTGCTTCTAGAATATTCTCCACGTTGATCAGATCTCTTGAAGTTTCTGAACTTCTTTTGTTTATGCTTCTAGAGTTGATTTATCCTTCTGGACAGCAAAGACACTTCATCTTCTTCTGAGGAGGATTCTTCAGAGATTTCTTCAATTACCTGCAAAGCTTTAGCAGATTTGTTAGATTTTAACGCAATAGACTTACCTTTCTTCTGAGGCTTGTCTTCTTCCAGCTCAATCTCATGACTTCTTAAGGAACTGATAAGTTCCTCCAGAGTGATCTTATTCAAATCCTTTGACAGCTTCAGCGTTGTAACCATTGGTCTCCATCTTGATGGTAAGCTTCTGATTATTTTATTGACATGGTCAGAAGTGGAGTAACCTTTATCCAGAACCTTCAAACCAGTAGTTAGGATCTGGAATCTTGAGAACATAGTTTCCACAGATTCAGACTCCTCCATTTTGAAATCTTCGTACTTCTGGATAAACGCCAAGCCCTTTGTCTCCTTTACTTGAGAGTTTCCTTCATGTGTCATCTTTAATGACTCAAACATGTCAAATGTTGTTTCTCTATTTGTAATTTTCTCATCCTCAGTATGAGATATAGCATTTAACAGAATGGTTCTAGCTTTGTGATGATTTCTGAAATCCTTTTTTTGTTGGTCAGTCATTGACTTTCTGTCAACCTTTTTGCCCTCACCATCAGTGGGGTGAATGTAACCATCAGTGACCAAATCCCATAGATCAGCATCATATCCTAGAAAGAAACTTTATATTCTATCTTTCTAATAGTAAAACTTCTCTCCATCAAACATGGGAGGTTTGGTGCTGATTCTATCTCTATCATCATATTTGTTGTTGTTTGAAGTTGAAGTTTCAGCCATGATAAATCAAGAATAATAACTCAAGAGTTTTTCCCAACTGGATCTTTCTCTTTCACTGTTAAGTGATAACACTACAGAGTCGGAGCTCTGATACTAACTGAAGGTAGGAAAAACACTTAGAATGGAGGGGGGTTGAATAAGGGTTTCAAATAACAACTATGACAATAGTAAAAATAATAAGGTATTTTTATCCTGGTTCGTTTGAACTCAAACTACTCCAGTCCACCCTACCAAGGTGATTTGCCTTTCTCAACAAGGACTTAATCCATTAAATCAAACTGATTACAATGTTAACCACTAAGACAAACAGTCTTACTCTTCTCAAGAAATCTGACCACAACTTGGTCTCTTAAGGAATCTTTTACAAACAAGTAAAATACAATGTGTGTTTAAGAGTTGCTTCTAAAAGGCTATATCACAACTGTGATTTTACACAAATGAAGAACGAATTAAATCTAAAATGAAGTTGAGAGATGTTTGGATATTGTTCTTTTATTTGTTCAGTAATTCGTCGTTACTAGAAATGATGTAGAAGTCTTGTTTAAATAGAACTTCACTTTCATTTCTTAAAGGGCGTGCAGTTGGAATTCTGTCTTCTTTGACTTTTCTTTCACAGAAGAGGAATGTTCAGACAAATCCTTTTTGTCTGAATTCTTGTGTCATGCACGAACGAGGAAAGAGCCGTTTGGATAAGGACAAGGAATATGCCAACGGATCTTTATTTCAACAACATCTTCTTCAACAAATCTGGAACAGTCTTGCATCAGATCCTTTGATGATGTTCCTTGTTCTTCAGATTAGAGTTACTCTATTCAGAGTATTCGCAGCCATGTACTTTAGCGTGAATAATCTTTATCAGAGCATATTTGAATATCAGAGCGTCTGTACTTGCAGCGTTAAGTACTTCCAGAGTCTTCTGATTCTTTACATATGCTTTTTCGCTCAGAATCTTCTGCAGCTTCGCTCAGAGTCTTCTACAGCTTCGTTCAGAGTCTCTTCAGGCAGCGTTCAGAGTCTTCTGATTCTTAACTTTCAAAGGAGTTTTTGCTTCCAGAGGAATATTAATTTTAATATCTGAAACAAAAACACTTGAATACGATTAGAGTATATATTTACTTCATAAAAAATTTCATTAATGTTATCATCAAAATATAGAGATATATTAAGAACCAATCTGTGTTCTAACACAATTTTCAAACCCACTCTTATTCCGCCACTCAAGGTGAAAAGAGGGGGATTGAGCCTTTGATCTCTCTTCAGTTGTTTGGATGCGAGTTATCTTACTTGCGTGTGAGCAATTGACGCCTCTAAAACATTTCTAACATGATAATGTTTGACCATCTTTCAACCGCTCATTATTAAAACACCATTCAAACACAAATTCTTTTCAAGATGAAAAGGAGAGAGAGTCAAGTCTTTGACTCACTCTTCGATTACTTGGGTCCGATGAGCCTTTCTTAAGCTTTGAGTAATCGTCATCCAACCTAACTTCAACAAGTTTAACCTATCTCTTTTCATGGTCATCTCCACGAACTATGAGCGCTCTGATTCTTCATTCATTTTTTGAATGTAAGATACGTAGGCACCAGATTGCGATGATCTTGGTGAGCATAATTCCTTCCATCTTCCATTTCCCCCTATCCTTTCCCATAGTCGAACTACGACAACTCTTATTTCTCATTCTCGTCCAAATTGGTATACGTAGGCACAAGGGCCCCAATCCTTGGCGAGCACCTTATCCTATAACTACCCTTTTCCCCTAGCATCTTATTCCTTTTATCGTACCGTTTCGCATTCATTATTGAGAAGAAAACGAACAAGCATAGCTAACATTCATCACAATTTAAATTAAGAGGTTGTTGAGTAAAACGGACGTGAGGGGTGCTAATACCATCCCCTTGAATAACCAACTCCCCAACCCGGAACATTGGTTGCGACGGCCTTGTTCCTATCCTTTCGTCTTAAAAGATTTTCTCGATATTTTCCTTTCCCTTCTATTCGGGATAAATAAAGTTCGGTGGCGACTCTGTCGAACCGCATTTCCGCGCCTTTAGCGCAAGGGTCGTATGTTCTCGATGAATTTTTAAGGTGTGACAGTTGGCGACTCTGCTGGGGACCTATTGCTCCATGAAAGAAAGAGTCGAGCCTATCTTAGTTCAAATTGTGAGTGTGCTAGATTTGCTTATTTGTCTTCTTCTCGCTTATTTATGTGCTCTCTATCGCATCGCTACGAAGAGGGGCCGGCAAAGACAGAAGAGTCGCCACTGTTCGTTATTTATCCCAAAGAGAGGGAAAGGAAACGATCATAGAAAACCTATGAAAAAGGGAGAAGACAGGTCTTCACAACCAAATCTTGGGTTTGGGAGTCGGTTACGCAAGGGGAAGGTATGA